GGCATGGGAAGAAATGATTGATTCAAGATGCCGGCGGGCTCTGAGTGTCTGAAGGTAAAAAGAAGCAGGATGTATCAAACTGATCCAAAAATAACAATCTGGTGATCCGTCTGGATCCAGTATCTGAGCACAAAGGAACAAGAAGAGTCCAGCTGTGGTCCTACAGATGCTCCAACACCCCCCCCCCCTCCCCCCAAACAGACCTCATCTGATCAGACACAGTTCTAGACCAGGTCCAGTTTGGGAGCAGGTCCCATCAGAACACTCTGAAGACACTTCCTGTCATTGTGTGAATGTTGCCGACGCATTCGTTCATTTTTCTTCTGTACATCTTTCAGCATCTTTCTCGTCCCGCAGTTTTCATCTATTTGAATAAATCATAAATCAAAACGTTCAGCTCATTCATATCAATCCTGCCACGACTTTTGGTATTGGTGCAACTTTAGCTTTTTGAAACATTTAGCCTTTTCTGCCATTTTTTCTTCTCATAGAAAATGAATTGAGCTCATTTTCCCTCCTTCAGATCTTTAGCTCTGTTCACAACGTTTTACTGCTCCTTTCACTTTTTGTTCTGCTTCAGCTTCTTTGTGCAAATTTAAATGTTTTCAGCTACTTTCAGCTGTTTTGTGCTCCTTTAAGATTCTTCCTGCTAACTACAATATGTTCGTGCTCTTAACTTCTTTCTGCTAATTTCAGCTCGTTATGAAAGTTTCAGCATTTTCTGCTATTTAAGCTACCATTTAGCTGTTTTATGCTAATTTGAGTTTTATTTTTTCAGCAAATTCCACATGTGTTGCACTCTATTCAAAAATTGTTCAGCTTAATTCAGCAAAAATGTGCTCTCTCCACGTCCCTCTGGCAAATTAAGCTTCTTTCTGCCTTTTTAGCTACTTTTCAGCTGTTTTTTGTGTGCTAATTTCAGCTTTGTCCATATCAATCAATCAATCAACCAATCAACCTTTATTTAGTCTAAATTATGTCTTAGTATTATATTTCATATAATTTCCACTTCTTTTTGCTCATTTTCTGCTTCTTTCAGTCTAATTGGGCAAATGTGTGCTCTCTCTACTTCTGCTAATTTAAGCTTGTTCTATATTTTCATCTAACTTTTTAGCTTTTTTTTTGTGGCAAATTTCAGTTGTTTTCAGATAAATTCAAGTTTGTTGTGGTAATTTTGGCTATTTTCACTTCTTTCTGCTAATTTCAGCTTGTTATGCTCCTTTCAACTGCTGGTTTCAGCTTTTTCTATTTCAGCTACTATTTGGCTGTTTTGTGCTAAATTTACCTTTTACAGCTAATTCCACGTTTTTGGCCAATTTCAGCTTCTTTCACCGCCTTCTGGTAGTTTAAGCTTCTTTCAGCCTTTTCAGCTACTTTTAAGCTTTTTTTGTTGCTAAATTCAGCCTTTTCAGCTTATTTGCTAACCTTTTTGCTAATTTCTGCTTTTTTAAACATAATTCAGCAAATATGTGTTCTTTCTGCTTTCTTCTGCTAACTTAGGCTTGTTCTTCCATTTCAGCATGTTTTTCTTTCAGCTGTTTTTCAGCAAGTTCTTCTGCAATAAGCATTCATACTGAATTTTCGCAGGAAATGCAATTTCTACAGTTTTAATTCAACTCCAACCTTCAGCCTTTCATAACCGCCAATACAAACACTATTCTTTAAGCCTTAGCAACATCCTTGAGCATCGGGTTTCCACAAAATAAATCATGAAATGTAAATAAACAAACGTTATTTTAAAAATCTATAAACATAAATAAAAATTTAACGTAGACAGCTTGGACCCGTTTCTACTTCAGTCTGGGGTCAG